ACCCCTGTCACCCTGGACGGCACTCTCTTCCACCCTGCTGGGCTGGTTTGCTGGCTCGGCTACTGGTTTACCCCTAGCCTGGAAACCTCTCCCCACTTCGCAAAATGCTTGGCGCTCGCCCAGGGGGCCTTCGCTATCGTGAGGCAACTCTCTCCTCCTGGTAAAGGCCTGCCTCCTTATCTCAATTGGAGGCTCGCTGTCGGACTCATCCTTCCTATTCTCTCCTATGGGGCCGACCTCCTGGTACCCAACTCCTCTGCACTCCATAAGATGGAGGTTTTTTGGAACCGAGTCCTCCGATGGGTGACCAACTGCTTCCACTCTACCCCAACCTCGATCCTCCCCTGCGAGGCCAGCATCCCGCCTCTGGTAGTCCTCCTTCCCCACAAGCGCCAGATGGCCGGCTTGAGGATGGCCTGCTCTCCACCCGAGATCAACCCGGCCTCGGCCAGGCTCCCCCTGTCATTTCCCTCCGCGTCAGCCACAAGGGCCCCAGATTCCAACCGGGCCCTGTCTGTTGGGCTGAAAGGCAACGCATATCCTCTCCTCTGGAAGACCCCCAGGCCCTCTCCCGCCGTACGACACCACCTCCCTATTGATGGCATAGCTTACTCCCTTGCCCGCGTCGCTGCCAAGGGGCCCCTTCCAGGCCTGAACAGGCACCTGGTCCCCGGGATGAACAATGATCTTTCCTCCTCGCAGAAGTACTCCCTCCTGAAGGCCACCACTCGCTCCCTTCTCTTCCGGGACTGGGCACTACAGGCCCCCCCCCCGCTATACTACCTCTACCCCCCACCAGAAGCCCCGCATCCTTTCATGGGGCTGGACCGCTTTCTGGCTGGACAAATACACCAAATGAGAGCTGGAAAGAGTTATCTAGCGGCCCATACCCCCTGGAACGAGCCAGACAAACCCACCACTTGCTCTGCCTGCGGCCTCGAGCCGGAGACTATGCAACATGCTGTCCTCTCCTGTCCCTCTAAGGCCCCCTCGAGGCTGCTCGATATCCTGGGAGTAGACTCCTTAGGCCATGAGGCTCCCCTGTAGGCGGATAAGGACCTCCTATGGGGTCTCGCACAATACATTTCCGATACCAGAACCAACTTTCCCGCCGCGATGGGCGGGGGCCTGGCGTTGCCCGGCACCAACCCTGTTTCAGATTGAAGTGATAGTTTCTTTTGATATTTTTCCTGGCTTTATTTGACTTTCCTTGCTTTATATTTCTTTCGTGCAGAAGGAGACTTGTCTTTTCTTTTGCGATTAGCCGCCCTGGTGGGTGCAGTGGGTTGTATTACTCACAGGCGGGGATTGCTGGCGGGGAGATATTTCATTGCCGTTTGTTGTTTTTGACATTAAGGTTTTGTTTTTGCCATAGCTAGCACTCCATGCAGGTTCTTGTACCTTAACAAAGAATATATGAGTTAAACAAAAAAAAAAAAAAAATCCTTAGCTTTCAGAACATCCTCCGTCTCCGCTACACCTCCGGTGATTGAAAACTCAACACCACGGTTTTTATCGTGAGTTTTTTGTTTCGTCGCGAAACCTCTTCCACCCTCCCGCCCACTCCTGCCTTTGGCCTCGGCCTAGGGGAGTCTGGCCCCTCTCTCCTCTCACGCCCGGGGTATTGACTTCGGTCTACAGTCGCAGGGCTCTCTCTCTCCCTGAGGGTTGGTCAGTCGAAGGTCCTCCTCGGCTGGCTAGCAGGTGGTGGGATCCCTTCCACTACAGTGATGCTATCTCTCCCAGAACAAGGGACTACATGAGAGACGCGGTAAAACACCTGCTATGCTTTGCCCAGGCGGCCGTTGATGATCTTCCTTACTCCCCCTTCCTCCTCCCCCCACCCGTGGTGGCGAGTCCTCTCCTCCTCTTGAGTTGGCCTCGCTTAGCCTTCTCATGGTCGGCAACCTTTTAACCACCATTGTCAGACGGCCGGGACTACAGTTGCAGTAGGGGAGAACAGCCAACAGGCTACGGTCGATCTCCCCATTCTCTTGTTCCCCTAAGAGGCTGCCTAGTCAGACACGAACGCGATACCGATAGACGATGTTCAAGGTCTTTGTGTCTACCCCTCCGCTCTCCTCTTCCTACTGTCGGATTGGCTGGCACCCTACTGCTACACCTTCCCCTCCCCCCGGTTATCGCCCACGGCCGGCTGGTCTCCTCCTTCCCTCCATGGTATTGCACTGTCTCCTTGGAGTGGGCCTGGGGGGGGCCCCCTATCTTAGCGCGCTTCGTGCATCGCTTCCCGCTTGAATGAGTGGACTCCCCCTTCGGGGCCTACGTGGCTTGCTACTAACCTTTCTTTTGTCTTTCTGGGATTTCTCAGTGGGTTTTCCTGGCCCTTCCTGCTTTCTTCTTAGTTAGGATTTCTTTGTTCGTCCATCTAGCCGGGCTTGGGTTTCTTTTCTTTGAGGCGAGATGTGCGGTTGGCTCCATACCAGAGGGGCTTGGGGGGTTGGCTTTTTCCTGTGGTGAGAGGAGGGATATGGGTTTTTTGTCGTCATAGCTAGCGCTCCATACGTTTTTTGTACCCTAAACAAATAATCAATGAGTCAAACAAGAAAAAAAAAAAAAAAAACAAATCCTTAGCTTTCAGAATCATCAGCGAATGGAGAAGAGATCTTATCAATATATTCGTTATACTTTGATACATATTTTTGTTACAAGCTTTCTTGACCACTCTCCCAGAAACCTTATTGGCCCCAGTTACAATTCGTCCAACTTAGAATTGGCTGCCACCTAACAGGTCATTGGTCATTTGATTTACAATTATGTTTTAATTATCCGTTCATACCATTTTAGATTTACGCATGTTTTATGGGATTTCCTTGGCAGTTCTTGTCACGAATGGTGACTAAGCAAGGAAGATTTCACATAGCTCGGATTTCCGAGTTACATGTATGTTGGAATTTCACATGATGCACACTAGTGCGCCATAGGTTATTATGTTTACCTGTTCGTGACTCACAGTTGTGAGTCACACGATGTTATGATTTTCGCACATAACTCATACTTATGAGTCATGGGTTTCACTCAGGTGACGCTAGTTGCGCACCTGACTTGGTTATTATGTTTTGATTGGTTTAGGCATGTTGCACAGCGACTCATAGCAGTCTTCTGATGGATTTCATATCACTCATGGTTATGAGTCATAGGGTTCGCGTGATGCAAGGTGTGAGTCACGCCAGGTGAAGAGCGACTATATAAAGGGTCACTAGGACCCCGAATATGAGCTCTTCACACGTTCTTCTTGTTTATTTCCTACCTTTAAGTTATTATCAATAAAACCTACCTTTACGCACTTTAAGATTTATCTTAAGAAACCCGAGAAGTGTCTTTCCTCTTACAAGGAGAGATTAAGTCCTAAGTGAGGACTTAGAAGAAGAATAAGAAGCTTGGCGCGAACACGATAGTAGTCAAAGGACTGGACTATCGGGATTGCGTAGGCCCAGGCCTGAAAGCTATCACCTTATAGAGAAGTATCGTTACCTGTCGCTAGGTCCTACTCGGTAGGATTCTTAACAGTTCTTTAGGGTCAAACACGTTCGCACTTATGTTTTTCCTACTTATGTTACGGTCAAACACGTCGATACTTATGTTTTCCCTTACATTTCCTCTTAGTTACGCGAAGGATGCGCACCTGTATAAATAGGGGTTACTACCCATCTCGCTTAAGAGAATTAAGGACAAGAACTACTACCAATCTACCTTCATACAAAATTCCTCCTCGCTTAGCGTGCCCGCAGTATACTCTTACTACTGTGTCGTACTTTCGTACAAAGTTATTAAGATAGTGCCGTACCCACACATTTGAACACTGACAAGGCACTGTAGTTGCCAAAGAACAAAATTGAAAATGCTCTACACCGGATATAGGGTAAACAATATAAGGGGCTATCTACAGTGCATAAAAACCCCTCAGGCTCTATAGCATGGGCAAAAGAAACAGGAGACGATGACCAGGGTAAGTACCTTAAGGCCGGTATGATACACTATCATACCATAACTATACAACTACGCACCAATAAATATTAGGACTTTTGGCCCCGTAGGCCTAAATAACAACCCAAAACCAGTTCAGTGAACAATAAACACAATAAACGAACCCCTCTTCTATTCTCAATTTTCGGGTTAATATCCAGACCGAGTGCAGGTTCAGAGATGGAGTATACACTCTTCCAACTTCGTGTATACGCAAATATACCGTCCCAGATTAATAAACGAGAACAGAAGCAGAACACCTAACCCAATGGTGTCCTGTGTTTGATGGAGATCTAGGAGTTAAAGTGATGGCTATAAGTAAAAGGGACAACGATCATAGAGAGAAAGCAAAAAATCAAGCCTTGAACTGCTGCGCTACGAACGCTTCGCCAAGTGAGCCACAGGTAAAGATTAGGTTTCTCCTCCCTTCAGTTTCTAATTATGTATTGGGCTCCTGTTATGCATTGTTAACTAGTCTAGGTCGGTATCATATTGTTCATTGAGAGTACTTCACAAGATATGATTCGTAGGGTGCATAAGTGAGAACCTCGCCGTAATATGCGGGAACAGAATTTTTATGATAATATTATAATAATGCCATAGCTCAGGCCATGCCCAACTACGGGCCCACACACCCCTAACCCCCTTCAATCGTTACAATCACCGTATGGATGATTGACGCGCCACTTCCTACACGACACCTACCGCACATTCTAGTCACCTCACATGCAGCATATCACCAACCAGCAATGTTTCCCGGAACTCTTCAGGACACCCTTACAAGCCCCATCCACCCATCAGCTTCGGCATTTCATCATGTACCCCCAGTGCCGGAGAGCGCTCCAAAAATCTTCACAGTCTGAGACTCCTGGCTCGGACAAAATCTCAAGATACAAATCCACGAGGATCTGTTTTTTTTTTTTCCAGGACAAAGATCCAATCTCGATCTTCAAGGGTCATCTATCTTTTTTCCCACAAACAGTGTATCCACAGAAGAGTAGTATGATAACCTCCGGGCATCCCCGGAGCAGTCTTTCGAAAAACAGTGTTTCAGAACGGCATAGTATACCCCAAACATAACATTTCTAAGGCTCGGGCACACCTCCCGGGAAGCTCAGTCTTCAATACTCTCAGCATGCATCTGCGCAAGATACTTAGAATGGGGCATCTACCTTCTTCATCACATCCCCTGGGACAGGTTACTTCAAAATGCCAGGTTCTTTGCTCCTGCACATCCTCAGCACCATCCACAAATCCACGCATCCATCTAGACACCCTGATCATACGATCTCACTCTCGTCACCACAATGGCTGTTCCATCCTCCGCGATGCTGGTACCTCCCCCCACCTACTCCCCTCTTCTCCTATTTCTCACAGAACTCAAGCTAACATCCACCAGGGCGTGGTATGGGGCCAGCTCAGCGTCCAGGCCTTCTTTGTTTTATTCCGGTTTTGGATACAAAAGTTCAAGCTCAAGAGCAGAATGACGCTACCAGATCACATGATCTTCCTATCCCTATTTTGGACAGTCATTGGAATAACCCTCATGACATTTCTCACACTCCTCGATATTAAAGCCGAGGCCAGCGCGGATAATCCGCTGGAAGAGAGGATCCCATATATAGCACTTTCAAAATCTGATATGGCGAGGTACATGAAGTATACAGTTGGCATTACGATCTGCTACTACTCTGGAGTTTGGTCCGTAAAGGCATCGTTCCTGGCGATGTACTTCGCCCTAGGAGAGAAAATCAGCAAAGGGATGAGGAAGGCGCTTCTGGTCGCCGCAATCTTCACGGGCGCGGCCTGGGTTACGGTGATAATAATCAACTTGATGTGGTGCAGGCCCTTGAGTAGGACATGGTCCGTCTCCCATCCTACCAGTGCTCGTGTGACGCGCTGATTGACAGGTGATTATTCCAGGGAAGTAGTTGTCCCAACGGACCCACAATATTGCATGTTCCTCGACCTCCCAGTCTTAGCAATTCATTTTTCCTTCAATATCAGTACCGATCTCTTCTGTCCGTCTCGCCCCCCTTCAATCCCTTTCACCTACTAACCCCATTGATCCAGTATTATTGTTTTCCCTAATCCTCCTCCGAAGCGTACACATGCAACGCCGGGAAGCTGCAGGCTTCGCATTCGTGATTGTAATTGGTAGCATCAGTATAATTGGTGCGATAGCCCGCGTGGGAGTTATCCTCCCGTACTGGGACGACTATATCCAGCGCTACGAATGGAAGCAGAAAGCCGCGATTTGGTCCATGGTGGAGCAGTCCGCTGCTATAATCGCCAGCTGCTTGCCGTCCTTCCGCCTGTTCCTTCGGGATAAGAAGGCTAAGAATCCTTATGGCCCACCAAGGGATGAAGAAGGGGGGTTTGTCAATCTAGCCCCGGTTCATAACAAGATACAGAAGGGGAAGAATACGATGGCAACAAAGGAGGTTGAAGAGGAAGGTGAGAGGACGCCGTGGGACATTCCAGGAATAACGTTGGCACCATATGCTGGATCTGCAGACGGGAAAAGCAATGGTAGTGATGTGGGAAGGTATATGAGTGCTCTGGGATCAATGGAGAGGATTAGTAGCGTTGCACCCAGCCTTGGGAATGAGCCATGGCCTAGGACTCCCTGGGGTATCCCAGGACTCGAGAGTGAGTCCGATACTTCGGAGAGCGGTGAGAATAGGAGTTAGCTTTGTGGGGGGGGTATTATGACGGCACGTCTATGAACAAGTTTGCCTGCACCCGCGGCGGATGGGCGGGCAATGGATAGGTTGAAAATGCACTCTTCAGCATGTATGATACATTAAAATTATGATAGCTTATGTTCTACCTGGAGCAAAAATTTGTTTTATCCCTCGAATTTGAGCCTGCCTATATGGGCTGTCCAAGACTTCACCCAACACAAGTAAGCTTACCGCAGTCAATAGATACTTATGATGTTTACATCCCGTGCCTTAGAACGAACCAATCACACACATCAGTTTTATTTCCCCCTGAACAAAGCCCCACACAAAATACCAACCTAACCGAATCATAGCAACCATTCCCGGAAAGAAAAAAAAAACTCATCATAAACAATTCAATGCAGGATATCAACCAACCAATCAGTAAACGCAACACAAAAAAAAGTGGTAACATCAAAATTGGAAAATGGGGAAAATGGAAAAATAAAAAACGCCCCGCATTCACACACAAACACAAGAAACAGGTCTGGAGAGACTTGGTCAGATAAAGCTTGGTGTAGAGAGAGCAGAATGAGACGAGGTGTCAAGAAGGGGAAAGGGCAAGAAAGAACAAGGAAAGAGAAACGGGAATGAACCACCCTCCCAACACCTCGAACATATATACACCCCTTCCTTTTCCTCTTCCTCCCACTACTATTGCTAATCCTCCTGCCCCTCATTAACCAACAATTCAACAACTAACTGCCTCCCCTCAACTTCAGGATGTGCCATGGCAACTTTAATAGTCCTGGTCCCGGCGCTGCCACCGCACTGAGCATCGTCAATACACCGGCAGTCCCTGCTGGCAATGACCTGGCGCAGGCGACCATTGTCGGCGTTCCTTATCTCGACAAAGTCGTTGTCGAAGATGAGGATGTAGGGGCCGTAGATGGCGACAGACTTGGCCTTGCCAACGAATTCCATAATTACGCTGCGTGAGATGTCACCGTGCTTGTTGACGTAGACAGCACATTCTGTTCCGTTAGCCCTGTGATGTGACGAAGAGGGAGGGGGGGTTACCTTCATAACAAAGCAAGAATTCGATATCCGAAAGACGGAACATGCCTAGGGGCTTCTGTCCATGTAGTCGACTGGCGATAAGAGTAACATGCGAGGCTTTAAGCTCCGGTACAGACCAAGGCTGCTTCTTGTCCAAGGTCATGACTTCAAATCCCTTGCTAGTCTGAATAGCGAGCGACGAGTGAAAAAGGTTAATCCCATAGCAATCCGTCGGGATATAGAAATCGTCGAATTCCTGGAAGAAGCCAGTAGTGCCCTTCCGTGAGAAGCGAGACTTCTTCTCGGGCGCTTTTTGGAACACAGGTTCGAGGACTTTGAATGTTGACGAGAGACCTTCGCGTTTCTTATAGAATACTAAGCTGCGCTCTTTCATCCGGCCAGTCGCGAAGAAGCCGACATCTTTTCCACCTGAGAGCTTCTGTGGTGGGCGTTGCTTGACGGCGGCATCAGGGGAAGCGCCAGGTGGGGGGATCACTACGTCCAAGTGGTAGGCTATTAGAGACTTGTCCGATAGCACAAGGAAGAGACTGAAGTCTTCGAGGACGGCAATTTGAGTCACCTTGGGGAGGTTGATAGACTATTACATGTTAGCACAATAATCCACTAATAGAGAAGAGACGACCTACTCGCTGCCAACCTCGAGGGTTCTTCGCATCTGCGGTGAAAACGCCATAATCCGTTCCAATGGCCACCATCTCTTTACCATAGTTGACCGTAAAAGCAGTCGCGCAATTGACACTTGCTCTGCATATAACGCCTGGACTCGGTCCTGGCGCCTTCTCGTACATCCTTTCAACCTCACCAATGGCACGATCAAGAGGAGTACCACGGACAATAATTGGCCTAGGCCCCGATTGTGCAGTAGTTTCGTATCCAAAGGCAGTATCAGCCATAACCTTCAATCGGAAAGGCTCGGCATTCTGTGCATGAAGGCTCTGCGCATGGCGTTCCTTGGCTTGAATGATCTTCTCACACCAGTCCATCCGATTCTGCTGAGATGGGGCATATAGGATATAGGTGTTGTCATCGGCCTTGATGGAGCGGTTTCCAAGATGCTTGATGCGGAAAGGATACATCACTCGATCGTCGCCTGCGCTACGATCCGGCAATGCGGTGACCATCCTACCGGGTGCAGTATTCGTAGAAGTAGTAGACAAACCAGTACTAGAATGTGTGAGTGCCCCAGGACTGGGAACTGCGCCCACGGTATTGTGTCTGCCGGACTTTTGCTCATTCTTATCCTTCGCTGCTGCTGTAGGGCCCCCGATACCAAGTCTATTCGCTGTGCTCCTGACAACTGGCTCATCATTGGTGCTCTCCAAAACGAGCAAATCCATAGGAATTGGCTATAACCCATTAGCCATAATTATTCCCCTCTACCAGCAAACAACGGCACCTACCATTCTAGAAACATCGTACCTCCCATGTTTGGCTCCACCATGAGCGTCCTTTTGCATCGTAGTCTTTGCCAAGATTAGATAATGATCAAACAAGATTGCATGAGTTTCCAGCCACGTAAATCTGTTATTCCCATTCCTCTGCAAGTCACCTTGAAAGACCAATTCTCTGCCCTTCTCGTCAAGTCTAAGGTCCACATCCCATTGCCTCATCATCAACCTCGTATCCAGCTCCCAAAGCGCCACACGTTTGCTCATTTCATCGACGCGCGCATCGCACTCTAGCGTCACCGCCTTGATCTCTTCGATAGCCTTCTGGAGTATCTCCTTCTCCTCACCCTCGATAACGGTGTGTTTCAATACCGTGAAAAGCAGTAGAGAGTATCTCTGCAATCGAGTGATAGGCGCCTTCAAGAAAGTAACCCAATCCAATCTTCGAGATCGGGGATCTTGTCGGCACTGTTCGAGGAACTGTCTAAAAAGGAGGTTTCGTTCAGCTTCTCTTCGAACAAGCATGTCCGCCTTCGGGAATGCCGCTGCGTATTCTAGATAGGCGGTCTTTGCCTTTCGGATCCATTCTCGGAAAATATCGCTGAACCCAACGATCCAAGGGCCCTGCTCGCGTTGTCGGAACTTCAGCTGGGGGAGCAAATGCTCCTCAGAAACCTTTCTTACGGCATCAGCCTTACCAAACACATCCTTGACGAAACCATCAAGTCTGGTCGGTTTAATGATTGGTGGCTGGGTGTTCGCAATAGGATCCCGGTATAACACCTTCAAAACCCTCATGTGCTCCATGTACTCATCTTCGGTCTGCACAATTTCGTGCAAATTATTCTGTCGCTCAATCTCCTTTTTACTAATATCAACGATATCCTCCTTCCTAAGTTTCCAAAAAGTAGCCCAGTCCTCCTTCTTTTTGTCGAGTTCGTCCGGATGCTGCGAGAGTGTAATCTTCCGTAACGTCCTCGCGCAATGGTAAGCATAACATCTCCCAGGGCACTCAATCTCATGTAACCTTGGAGCATAGCATCCGCTGCCAGTAATCTGAAAAATAACACCAGACACTCCACCCTCTCCAAACTTAACCCATTCCTCGTCTATGACAAGAGCGCGCTCCTTTATCATTCCAGAGACAACTCTAACCGCGAGCGCCTCCGCATCCGCCACATTCATAGTAGGAACGTAATGCGTAAATAAAGCCACGATACCCTCCTCAACCGCGGGCTGCTTAAGATCCTGTTCGCCTTCAGTCATCTCCTTCAGCCATGCTTGGATAGCGCTTAGTGCCCATGGTGTCGGGCACTTTCTAAAATCGCGACTACTTAGCTTCTTTGGATCAAACTTCTTCGTTAGGGGTATAGGAGGCAAGTCGTTAAGTGTGAGTTCTTCAGAATTGACCGCAAGAGTTTGAGCCCCAGTAGGAAGAGCCGACTGTCGGTGTCCACGTGCTGGATGCGCTTTCCCGTCAGTCTTGGACCGAATTGGGGGTATGGCTGGTGGGGTGCTAGTATGACTAGACATACTCGTGGATCTCGGAAATTGAGGCCCAGGCCCAAGAACAGGTATAGCAGGTCCAATGATTTCAGGATAAGCGGGCGGAGGATATGGCCGCATTGTTTGCGCCCTACCGGCAACTGAAAACTGATGCTGGTGGGGTGGTACATCGTCTGGATACGGCAAGCCACCAGCCACTCTGAAGTCATTGTAGGGAGGACTCGGCAGAGGCCTTGTATTAGTTGGGCTACCATAAGTACCGCCCGCAGGAGGATGGTAGAATAGCTCTGGGAGATCGTCATCCGAGTCGTTTTGCAGCTTTGAAGGGCTTTGCGACCCCGATCTATCAACATCTTCATCGCCTTCGTCAAAAGACATAGGTCTTCTTTGAGAAGATGGCTCCGCAAGTCCCCCAGTTCCCCAGGTATCCACCCGAGCATTCTGAAACTGTGGAAACGGGTGAACATCCATATCGTCCGGGATCGCGAACTGAGAATACTCTGGAGGCCGCAGAGCGGCAGAAGACGGACCAGCAGCACTAGCCGTACGCCCCATATCATTACCCCTCGCAGGTGGTGGAGGCGGAATCGACTTGTAGCCAGGTAGAACCGGAATATCATTATTTCCACCATACGAATCGGCACCGTAAAAGCCCGACATTCCAGGAAACCCACCGTACATGCTGACATCCATCTCTAGTGCAAAGTCACCATCACTCTCTACCTCTTCGGTTGTCTTCACTGGAGGTGTTTGTGTCGAGGGACGCTCCATCGCCCCGCGCTCCCTCTCCTCTTGTGCTTCAGCGAGTCTCATCATCGCTAAGCCCTCTGCGGCCTCTGCGTCGCTCTCACCCGAATAATACCCATACCGTGTCTGGGCAGCTGCAAGATGGCCGTTAGTAGGGCCCGAACCGTTTTGCGAGTAAGGTACTCGGCCAACACCACCGAATAAAGGGGCTGGACCATCCTCATGTGGGTCATTCATGGGAACATGGGACGATTGCCGTGGTGTCTGCTGCGGTTTGTTCTCCATCTCTGCCAATGATGCCTCGACGTCTGCGTACAATTCTTCCGCTGCTTCTTGCTCTTCCCGCTGCCGCCCTTTGTCGTGTGATCCATGAGGCGCATGTGGTAACGGTCTTACTTGCGGGTGTCGTGAATCCTCGACACCACGCCCCTGGCGAAAAGCGGTATGCGAGGGCGGTGTCGGGGGAGGTGGTGAGGGTAAAGGGTTCGCACCGACAAAGCCGTATCTCACGTTTTGTAGGGGCTCCGGTCGATCCTTGGGAGGGTTTGGGAGGGGATGCCCCACCTGATCCGGACCGGAAACATCGCTATCTGAACCTGAGTTGTAGTGTGTTTCAGGCCTAGTCAGGGAAGGCTTGTTCCCCTGAGAAACGGAAGCCTGGTGACCCAAAGAACTGGGCTGGTAGGCAGTAGAACCAAATGGTGACTGTCCATAAGATCCGGGCGCAACCCCCGGCGATCCAGGCGGGTGTGGAGGGGGCGGTGGGGGTGGAGGCTGGTACGTGTTTTGGGGAGGAGCAGACTGCGTCGGAGGGGGCGGTGGGAGACCCGGAGAGTATGGTTGACCCGACCCATAAAGGCTTGACGTAGTAGCGTATTGCGGCCTAGTAGCATACTGAGAATAACCAGGTCCGCCGCCAAATGGTTGCGAAGCATGAGGTGGCAATGGGGCGGTCTGGGGAACCGCCCCAGTCCGATACGTGCCAGTGGGATAAGAGGCAGTATTAAAAGTGCCTGGATTATAAGTAGCCGTAGTAGGCGAAAACTGCCCGGAATTGTAGTTACTAACACCAGCGGTAGTCGCATGTCTTTGTGGCTGATATTCGGTAGATACGCCAAAACCTGCGTTTGTGGCATGACGTTGGGGTTGGGCTTGGTAAGCAGCTGGATTGTATGGTTGGTGCTGAGACCCATTGTACCCAGATCCAGGAGTAGTAGGATACGGAGCGGACGACGGAGCAGTATCATAAGAAGTGTTTGAAAAGGCAGGGGAATATTGGCCACCAGGCTGATAACCGTTTCCACCAGGGGTAACAGCGAAATATCCACTAGCACTGGCCTGACTCTGGGTGCGACTCACGGCAGAAGTGGAAATCGGGCCCACAGATCCCCGCCTATTCGGATCGTGAGGGGCTGGATAAGCACGATCGTAGAACAACTCCTCACGGCTCCTGGGTTGACGGGTGTCGACACCAGCTCCCCCATCAAAGAATTGCACATCATCTCCGTCATCGAAGCTCGGCGTCCGTGAACGCAGATAGCTATGTTGAGATGCTCCCCTGGGGTTGTTGCTGGCATATCCCCGCCCACCTCCACTTCCACCACTGGCGCCCGAGTGGCTCCGATAGGGCTCGGACATTTCGAATTATTATTACAAGTTTGACTTGTCGTTTTGCGTTGTTGTTTTTTTTCCGCAGTCGTCTTCCCAGCGATGTTTTTTTTTTTCAGTGATTTTTAACCTCTCAGTTGGACAGACCAGCTGAATGGGGAGGTGGATTTCCTGGCCCGACCGATGGGATGGACACCCGGGAAAGGCGGAGGGAGGTGTGTGTGTGTGTGGATTCGCGCGTGGATTCGTGGTTGAGGTGCGGGGAGGTGTCTCTTGTCTGTGGCCTGGCTTCTGGCCAGGGCTTCTGCTCCTTCCCAAGCGTCAGCACCGAAGTCCGTGTAATTGGGCGATAATCGCATACTATACAGTTACCTGTGATGACAAACGACGGGAACGGGAGCTCGGTGAAGGGGGGGGGTGAGGGAGTCAACGGGGGGGCAATGAAAAATAAAGCGGTAACCCAAAGATGGAAAAAAGAAAAAGAAAAAAAGCGAATGTAAAAAGGCAACGATCGCTACAGTGCCGGTATTATGCTAGCAATGAGAATCCACGGGCCGTAATATCAATATCTCCCTATCCAAAGACATGAATGGAAGAAAGGTAAAGAAGAAAGCGAGTGGGGGAGGAAGAGAGAGAGAGAAGAAGAGAAGAAGCAGATGATCGGATAGGGCGATGGAGTTCCACCGCGCCAACACCCTTTTTTTTTTCCCATCGCTCTATCCAAACTCCATCCGCCCCCCATATTACTCCATTGAAGACTTATCTTGTCATGATAAATCTTACATGAAATTTTCAGCGGGTGAACCCTACAACACCAGACTAAGTGTTGTGCCGGTACACACTCAATCCACCGTGTGGTGCACCACAGTTCTCGAGACTTCATCATCATCATCATCACCATCGTACTATATTCACAGTATTCAAGCGCTAGAGTCTCACCGCCATCAAGGCAGTGCCCCAATCCTCCCTCCATCCACTTCAAATATTGTTGTACCGCAAATAGTTTGTAAATAGAGTAGTCCCTCTCTTCCCCAAGGTAAAAATAGCACTGAAAAAAACACATCACATGAAATACCCTTCCACTTCTCTCACACTCTCTTGACCAGCTCCATAACCGAGATCACGTGATCTACATAGCTTTTCTACTCAATCTGACAAAAGGCGCAGAGAAGACAGGAAAACAGGAAAAGATCTACAAAACGAGTTTCCATTGATAGACACTATTTTGCCCAAACTTCCGTCACTGCGTGTAATTCAAGGCGTCTTTTACCCCCCCTAGTCGCACAGTGCGTTTAATGGAATTAACAGAAGCAGTTCATCATGCATCACTCGATTACCACACCCGGACTTCAAGAAGTAACGAGGGACCATCCAGGAGGAGTGACTCCCCCCTCGTCTTTTAGCCTTTTTTAACATCAGAAGCATGCATTGAGAGCTTCATCAAGGGGAAAGAAAGAAGAAGAAAAAGGAAAGTGGCGACCTGTTCATGTGAACTGCTATTTGCAAGTCAAATTCAAGTAATCGAAGATGACGCCGACAAGCTCGTGGGAGCTAACGCATAAGGAAAAAATGAAAATGAAAAAAAAAAAAAATGAAAAAGGGAATTTAAGCTACTTCGGGGGGGAAACAAGGCGGCTCATCGCAAACAATGTTCTTGCGAATTGTTTCAATCTCTTCTCCCGAGAAACCACACTGCTTGTCAAGATATTCCCTTACCCCGCCAAACTCCTTGTCAATTATCTTGAGGGTTTTCAGCATGGTGTCTTTTCTGCTCAGGAATTAGCGACCATCGCCAGCCGGGCAGAGGGGGGAGAGAGCTGAGGCACCTTGAACTAAGCATGTTCTCCAGACCTTGAATGGCTTCAGCATCCCCCTTGGCAAACACTGGCTGCTTAATCAGATGATCCCAAATTGCCTCCTTGACAGACTCCATGCCTAGCGTCGTAAGGGCGTACTCTTCCGCAATAACCTCGTCGTCGACACCCGCTAGTAGAAGTATCAACGCAGTAATGATACCCGTTCGGTCCTTGCCAACAGTACAGTGTATGAGCAGTGGGTCATTGGGCCGGGTAAGGATATGCGAGAGAATAGAGCGGTACGCGGTTTTCCCTCCAGCTTGGAGTATGCAACGATATGCTTCTGTCAAGTCGCCGGAGGAATAAGACTTGAATCGGAGGGCCACATTTCTAATTTGCTAAGCAATTGGTGGTGGGGGGGAATGGGAGACAGAGGTAGAGGGAAGGCATACTCCGGGGAATAATCCACATCTCTAAATACGGGCACAAAATTCCTGGTTATGCCTTCAATCTCAACGATCGGTGCCTCCTTCTCCATTCTCTTCAGCTCCGGTATTGAGCGGAGGTCATAGGTGCTGGAAACTTTCATAGTATCCCTTAGCAAAATCTTTCCGTCGTCGGTAATTCGCGAGGGCTCAGCCGAACGATAAATGAAGGCACGTCGAACCTAGCATGTGCCCAGTTAATAATCGCCACCAACCCAAGTCAATTGAAGGGGGTAAGATCAAAGTCAATGATGAAGGGGGAAATCATACACTGCCGGAATCATCCTTAAGCGGGTACCCCCCAATGTCACGAAAGTTGGCAATTCCCTGGACCAATTTCCATGGCGGCCTGCTCAATACCGCGAGTGTTTCCTCCGTGTATGCTGGTATATACCTTGAAGCCATTTCCCCCGCTCGCACCTGGCTCGGGTTTTTGAAGTGTTTGAAGGAGAAATTGTTTCTTCTGCTGAGAGCTTAGGTCTGGAGGAAGGGGGAGGGGGGAGCGTGGTTTTGTTGGAAAAAGTGCAGCTGTCTACCTATGGCACAGAAGCTTTCGCAGCTCGTTGTAGCTCGGGACCGTGAGCTTTGGGGGAGCAGCTGCAAGCCCCGTGATCGATTGCTTTGTCGAAGGTTTGACAGCAACGAGATTGGCCTCAAGCTATCCGTATGATACCTTTACCAGATCTGGCTGGGGGGTTTGGCCCTGATTGCGCCTCAATTGGCGTTATTGCGGGGGGTTTTCCCGGGCCCGTCAAGGGTTGGCTGAGCAGGGGAAGGAACGCAGCAGGCTAAGCGGGGCTTAAGGGTACCAGTACCGTACCGTACCAAGACGGTAGGTTAGAGCCGCACAAGTCTAGCAACCTGGGGATATATCACCAATTCTTGCTCGAAAGGCGATCCACAGAGTTGTTTGAGAGTAATCACCCGGCCAGTGGCAACATTTGGTTTGAAAAATACTCATCAAGGGACTGCTGATGCTCGTCGAGCGGGGGACTACATGTTTCTCCCAGGGAGCAATCTACTGCATCGTTTCACTCGTTTATATCTACAACTCACTGGGGCTTCTAGCGAGGCAAAATAAAAAATCGCACAATTCTCATACCGCTCGAATATATATTGGACCAGATCTGGACACAAGAAACGCGGTACTCCTGCGAAAAGCCCGGAACGCCGTGCATTAAATATTGCGTATTCCTACTAAGTTAGTGAACAGCTACATATGTTCCACTCAGAAATCCCCCATCTCCTCTATACCCCACCTACCCTACCCCCACAGTTCTAGAGCCTAGCATTCCCCTCCGTGCCCAGACTCTTAATCTCGAATCCCTTTCTGGGGAATACGACCTTGAGCGAACCACTACCAACATGCGCCCCTGTTGGTGTAACTTCAATAATAATCCTATCCTTCCCAAGAGCTCTAACTCTTCCCCTTTGCGGATGATTCTTTCCAGTGTCGACAGGCGTAACCTCCACTTCTTCACCGAGGGCTATGCCGGAGGGGTCGTTGTCGGGGGCTCCTATATCGGTGCCAGGGGAGGTGCTCACCTGCTCGTGATCCAGAATTATGTCTTTTGCTTCGGCGCCCTTTATGGTGGGGATTTTGACGGATTTGGGAGCGGGGAGGAGAGCTGTGAATCGCTTGATCCACGAGAAGGTTTTTGGGTGGGTGTCCGCTGTTACGGCGGAGTCCAGGGCGCCTGGGAGGGTAGTCAGCCATTCCGGTAGCCAGATGGCTAGATTTTGTTAGCTGTATGGAATGTGTAAATGATATCATGGGAAACTACACTCAAGATCTGCCAACGACATCTTATTGCCGAGGATCCAGTAGCGGCCGTCTGAGAGAACTTCCTCGATATGGCCATAGAGACCTCTAATTTTCTCGAGGGCCTAGAGCGGTCAACTTCCATGCTAGCACTAACGGCACAACGGACTAAACAGAGCACATACCCTCTCCCTCCCAGCATCAACATCCTCCTTCTTGAAACTCTACACCACCAACAAATCAGCTCTACTCTCAACCCCCTTCACATAAACACACAGGGGGGAACCCGCCCTCCCACTAAAATCCTCTCGATCCTTCACAAACCTCTCATCCTTCATTGAGGGCAAATCACTGGGAATCAACGCAACAGCGTAGGGGAACATCCGATCGCTCCAAGCCTCCCACTCTTCCCATTCACCGCCTCTCTCTCCCAACCTTCCATCAGGAAACCTCTCCTCCAGGACCCTAATAATCAACGACGTATCACACAACACCTCGTTCCCGATTGACAGCAGCGGGGTTCTCCTATATTTGATGCCCAGCGAGGCCAGATCCGGCCGAGGCATTATCGGCGGTTGAATGCATTGCTTGTACGGGATTCCGCGCAGCTGAAGGTACCAAGAGATTTTGTGCGCGTATGGAGACCAGTACTACGGGTATCAAGTCTCAGCCATCTAACCACAGAGTTGTGTAGGAGAACGGTTGAGCAAAAGGCGGGAGGGGGGAATATACATAGTGGAAAAGAATAATTGTAGGGACCGGCTCTGTGGACATTATTAACGAGCAATCCACGTTTGGTCCAGTTAACCCAAGCACGAAGCGCGATTGCCGTAGAAGAAGAGCAAGTTCGCACAGTTCCGTACACAACCGTGGATGGACCATCACCCATCACCTCCCCGGAGCCTCGTTTATATATGGTACCGTACTCGTACCGCACTGCACGGGTGTAACACAACAGTAAGATTTCCCACCATACCTCGGGAAAGCATGACAAATATAAAAAACTGGAGTACCGAGGTTGTCGAATGCTGTGCCTACCGTGTAATGTGCACGGGGGCTTATGGGTGCCTTAGCCGGACTTCAAACTGGCGGTATGGATATCATCGAGAGTGTATGATCGGGTGGAGCAATCAGAGGTTTCTGGTATCGTGTGTCTCTGATAACCGGAAGATATCTTGGGAGCATTCAACGATCCTCGTGACTAGACGAAGAGAAGTTGCCACTGACCCGTGTAGGTTATGGGCTTTGGAAAACTTCCAAATCACTGGGTGAATTGCGACAGTGAGGAGGTGGGATCATGGTATGGCATGTCTTAAAAACATACCGCACCGGACAATGTAATAGCTCAGCAAGTGTTCGAATGGTGGGGGGTGAGGTTGGATAAGACGGATTGTTGGCACTTATCGACCCGCTGTAACACTAGGACGCGAAGGCTCTAGGTTAGCTTCATAGGACTGTAGCGGAGTGGAGAAGAGGAGCTCAAGGTATACCGGTACTAGCACAGCCTTTGCGCACCTGACTTGAAGCCTGTCTCCCAAAGGGTATGTTCTGGAGTACTCGAGTAGAACATACAAGTGCCAGGGGAGATGTTTTCGTACAAGACAGGGATTATTTTGCGGGTTAACCTAAATTAACTGTGCGAAAACATTATCCCCGGCACTTGTATGTTAGCTGGACTCAAAGGTTCAGGTAAACAACCGGTTTGAAATGCTAGACACTACTCAACATTTTGCGCAGCCCTCCGATGTCCATTCACGCGAAGGCTCTACTACCGTGTCGTGATTGAACAATTCTTATTGGCCGGGCTGAATTCGGGGTGAGGATATAGAGAGAAAGAGTGAGAGAGGTAGTAGTTTCAAGCCACCGGGTATCATGGAACAAAAAAAGAGCTAGTTTGATATGTTCGATATGACCGAGGTTTTCAAGAGTAAACAAGACAAAACAACAGTTGCAGAATCCCCACCTCGACCCACAAAGGATTATCATACTACTCGTACGGTACCAATACTGTTTTGTTACCGGTACTTATACCGTACTTGCACTAGGGGTATTCAAAGTTAAAAACAGATGTGAGAAGAAACAAGTAGGTACTAGAACATGCATTAGTTTACTAAAGGTGATGGTCCAATAGCATCATAGAAAATATAGTATCATAGTTGAGGCCCCCAAATTTTCAGAAAAGTGAAAAGTAACGAGTATAGGTAAAAGTTAGCGTACATTTAGAAGAAAATTTTTCATATACCAAGATGACAACCCCGGAGGAAAGATGATCAGACAACCCCATCACCAAAATGCCACGCGATTATTCTGAGAATACGATTTGGACAAAAGCCAAAACGGAGACGGTAATTCAATGGCTTGAAGAGCCTGAGAATTTACGAAAAATCAAAAAGGGTTCAGGAATTACGAAGAAAACAATTGTTGCTGAAATCGCAGTCCAAATTCCTACCAAAGAAGCTATTAAGGTTGGGTACAAGTACGATAATATCATGAAATCCTATTGGGCTGCAGCAAAGTTAAACAACCAAAGCGGATGGGGTTTATCAGAGAGGGACTTAGATGAGGGCAGGAGAAGTTTACGAGGTAAGAAAAAAAATTATTCTTTTAAAATACAAGAAATTATCTTACAATATAATAAAATTAAATTTTTTTATTTTTTAGACAAGCTACTTTCCCGGTGTCCATATTTCTTCCGTTTGGAGAAAATTTTGGGTGATCGACCCAATGTACGACCGCCAGTCTCCTATGACTCGGGCCACAACGCAAATGATACAGCTGCAACGATCGAACAGTTGCTTATAGCAATCTCTAACGACAATCCGGAGGAGGAAGAGGAGGGCCAACTACCACTCGTTAGTCAGGAGGGTACAGGAGGAGAAGTGGAATGGGAGGGGGAAAATGGGGCAAGCGTTAGCAGAGAGGGGGAGGAACAAGAACGGGAGGAGGAGCGGCTAGGAGAAGGAATGCGAATAGAGAGTAGGGGGAATGAGGAAGAGGTGGCAATATTGGGAGGTAATGGAAGAGAGGAAGAGGATGGTGGTAGTTCTTATCGAGGAGAAAGAAGTCGAGTGAGCCAAGAGACCACAGGGGGAATTGAGGAAGAGGAGGTGGTAGTTATGGGTGAGAATAGGGAAAGGCAAAGGGCACAAAGGG